CCTTCTGGGCTGCCAGTGCACATTGCCGGCTCATGTCCAGCTTTTCATCCCCCAGCACCCCCAGGTCCCTCTGGGCAGGGCTGCTCTCGATCCTTTCTTCCCCCAGCCTGTACTGATACCGAGGGTTACCCTGACCCAGGTGCAGGACCTTGCACTTGGCCTTGTTGAACCTCATGAGGTTCACACAGGCCCACCTCTCCAGCCTGTCCAGGTCTCTCTGGATGACATCCCTTCCTTCTGGTGTGTCAACCGCACCACTCAGCTTGGTGTCATCTGCAAATTTGCTCAGGGTGCACTCGATCTCGCTGTCTAAGTCATTGATGAAAACATTAAACAGCGCCAGTCCCAGCATGGACCCCTGAGGGACACCACTCGTAGTTCATCGAATTCAACTCCCGACTCCACACAGGGAAACCTAAAGGTTAAACCATGTATCTAAGAGCATTGTCCAAACACTTCTTGAACACCAACAGGCTTGGGGCTGTGACCACTTCCCTGGGGAGCTTGTTCCAGTGCTTGACCACCCTCTCAGTGAAGAACTTCCGAATATCTAGTCTGAAGACACCCCTCGGACTCCTCTTCTTGAAGCTGGACAAACTTGATATCCTCAGCTGCTCCTCATAAGACATGCCCTCTACTCCTTTCACCATCTTTGTTGCCCTCCTTTGGACACACTCCAATAGTTTTATATTCTTCTTAAAACTGCAAACAGCTCTTGAGCCAAGGCCACACCAATGCTGAATATAGTGGGACAATCACTTCTTTCAACTGATCAGCTATACTGGGTTTAATGCAGTCCAGAAAACGGTTAGCTCTTTTGAAATACAGCCCGGTCTTCAGGACCTGCAGGATGGGACCTTAGCAGGTTTCCAGCAGACCTACTGATCTTTCAGTCTCAGTCTCTTGTCCATCCTTAACATCTTCTTTTCCATTTCTCTCTCCTCCCCAACCCTCACCAGCAGTAGGAAACTGAAAGCACAAACTCAGGAAAGCTCTTTGTCTTCACAGGAATTGCTACCTTTGAGGTGCAAGAGATGGTCCACAAAGCTGGTGAGGGGTCTAGAGCACAAGTCTTATGAGGAGCGGCTGAGGGAATGGGGGTTTTTAGGCTGGAGAAGAGGAGGCTGAGGGGAGACCTTATCACCCTTTACAACTACCTGAAAGGAGGCTGTAGCGAGGTGGGGGTCGGCCTCTTCTCCCTGGCAACAGACGATAGGACGAGGGGAAATGGTTTGAAGTTGTGCCAGGGCGGGTTTAGGTTGGACCTTAGGAAAAACTTCTTCACAGAAAGGGCTGTCAAGCACTGGAAGGGGCTGCCCAGGGAGGTGGTCAAGTCCCCACCTCTGGAGGTATTTAAAAGCTGGACAGATGAGGTGCTTAGGGACATGGTTTAGTGGTGGAATGGCAGGGTTAGGGGAACAGTTGGACTTGATGATCTTAAAGGTCTTTTCCAACCAAAGCGATTCCATGATTCTATGATTCTATGTACAAGTTACTGCACACTCTAATGGAGCAGCTCTGAGAGACAGGGCAGCATCTGGGGGCAGCATTTTGGATCTGGGTGGTGCATTCCTTTGGCCAGCGGCAGATGCCAATATGTAGAACACCTGAACGTTTCTCTACTCTGTGTGTTCATGGCGGCCTATAGAGCTATTTCTCTGACCAAAAGGCGTCATATGCCCTAGGAAGATCTAAGCCTTTCTTTCTCTTCATCATTAGCTGTGTTTCCTATGGGTCCTTTGAGCATAATTGGACTTTTCTCATGTACACCCCTTCATTGCCTAACCTAATTCAGGGCAGTTGAATCTCCATTTAATGTCCCAATACAGGTCTGGAGTGCTACGGGAGATGCCAGGGCTTTCCAGCACAACTGCATGCGGCCAACATGGTCAGCACAGGTCCAACACAGGCACCTCCTCCCATTCAGACTGGTTGTGTTATAAGCACCATTCAGGGCATCTCAGGCAGATTCAGTGCCTCTGGGTCAGCAACCAAATCCTACCACTGCAGTGAGGCAAGGTCTGTCCATCCTCTATCGTACAGACTCAGGGCAGTGCATTGAGTACAAAGCACATCACACGGGGCTCTGCACTCCTGTGCCTTCACTTTCAAACTCTGTTGATTCTTCTCTCCCCTTTGATCAAACCACCCCATCAATGTTACCATTCCCTCTTTCCCCCTCCTCAACTTCTCTTTTACTATCCTCATACCCTCCAAAAAGAACAGCCTGCCCTGTTAAATCCTTTCCCCATTGCCCAAGCCTTTCATTTTTGTCCCCTCTTTCAGTGTTTCTGAGGTGGTTGCTGTGGTATTTTCCACCTTGAGTAGCAACTCCCTTAAACACAAAATTCTCTTTCGTTGCCTGTAGGGCCTTGCAATTCCCCATAGTGTGA